CAGGAACATGCTCGGTCTCTCTTAGCAGCCGGCTGTCTCTCTAGGCAGCCAGCCATCTCTCTCTCAGCAAAGCAAGTCTCTCGCATCTCTCTCTCAGCAGCATGTCTCTTTCAGCAGCGCATCTCTCTCGCTGGCAGTCAGAGAGCCTCCTTCTGCCTCCAGGAGGACTCATTTTAAGCTTGGCAAAGTAGCAAAACTAACCAATCCCAACATCAGAATTCTACACACTGGAGACAGAATGAACTTCCCAGACTACTTCAGGTGGCTAACTTCAACAATCAACTACTCAGATGCTCACAGCAAAGTGGGAGTTACAAATTATTATGGCTAGAAAAGCCATACCATGCAATTTACTACACCTCAGTGGGGTACCCCATGGGAGTAGATTGGTTACTTTTTCCCTCTGGAGGCAGAGAACTGACTGGCCTAACATGGGTACACACCATCCTGTTGCATGGAGACCCTCAACAGTCATGCTTCACCTGGACTGGAACCATGGCTGTAGTACGAGGGATGGAAATGGGTCTTCTTTTCTGGCATACAGCAAAACAGGCAACCCCTCAAGTGACCTCCCTGCGGCAGCATATGGTACACTCAGCCAGGGAAAATGTCTAAGGCAGCCACTGTTCTCACCACTCAAGAGGAATCCATGAACATGATCCTAATAGAAGCCACCCCTCTTGGTACCTACTAAACACTTTTCTTTCCAATCTTAGGTATGTCCTATTCTGCTTTCTCCCCTTCAGGGCTGCCACCGTCTTCCCAGGGTGGGCTCACAGCTTCACCAGAGTCCACCATAAAAGTAGCTGCTGGGTCTGTAGACAGCTCCCCTTCTCAAGCACTAAAGGCATGCCTTGGAACGTGGAGCTGCTGGCCAGAACTGACTGGAGATGTATCAGTGTGTGTGCAAGCTTTTGTGACTAAGTTGGGGGTTAAAATAAGGGGGTGCACAGCTTTGCCTTTCCCAAGGCCCAGAGTGTGTGAAAACCACATGTTGGTGAGGGACCGCAACATCTCCGGGTCGTGGCCACAGGAGGGTATTTATCACCTCTGGGATGATTTAAGTTGGTTGGTGTTCAAACAGAATGTGCTGGGGAAACCCGGCTGTTTTGACTGGGAAAAACTCCGTGGATTTCCCTCCCTCTAAGCTCTCCCCTCAAACAGTTGGCTGGGCTCCTATGTCTTACTTCCAACAGGTGTTAGTTCCAAATATCACTAATTGGTTGCAGCAGACACTACCATGATAGTAGGAGCATACTTCACTCCAAACCACAGCCTTCAACATGTGTTGACTACTTGTGGCCCTGGATGTCACATGATCGGGTTGGGTGCTGTAGTTTAGGGTTGCTGTACACTGCAGGAACTATTAGGGAGTCTATACCAAAACCTCTTAATTACCCTACGTTAAAAGCCAGGTGGACCAAACCAAACCCATTGCTATTGAGTCGATTCTGACTCACAGTGACCGCCGCTGGGTTTCTAAAGGCTGTAAATCTTTAAGGAAGTAGATTGCCTCATGTTCCTCCCACAGAGCAGCTGCTAGGTTTGAACCGCCGACCTTCTGTTTAGCAGCCAAATGCCTTATTCACTACATCACCAGAGCTCCTTAGGGGGACCAAAGGCAGTGTTTTCTACTGTTATGATGAACTTTTACCTGTTTTTGTTCCTTTCTTTGGCTCGGTAGAAGTGATGAGACAAACTGAAGCTTTAATAACAGCCCCTAAACAGCAGGGAAAGCTTGCACCTATTAACTGCCAAAACCACCCAGGTAAGGAGAGTAGTCCTCCAGAACTCCATGGCGCTGGACATTGTGACATTCCAGGCAGGACATGTGCTATAGTGAAAACTGAAAGTTGTTAGCTATATAGCAAACTAACATTACTTTGTCAGAGGCCACATGGAGCAGACAGAGGCCCCAGACAAATCTGATGGCTGATCTGTGTGGTTGCCTGGTTTTCTTCTTTCCTAACTGGCAAGAGTTTTTATTTTCCTGGTTGCAAGGCTGTTGTACTGTGTTTGCCTCTATCACAGCTACGGTCTGTCTCTACCTACTTAATTGTGACACCTTCCCCTAGGGCCCTTAGAAGGACACACCAGATTTTAGGAGCCAGCCTTGAGGGGTGGGTTGTAAGGTGGATTGTTAGCACAGCCAAATATAGTTATACTCTTGCTTGCCACTAGCTCACTCTGCTTGCTAAGTTACTTAGGTAACACTTGCTAGGGTGGACTTGGAGATCCAGGGCCCTGGCACTATGCCACCTTGTTCCCCAGAACTATAATAGCCCCTGCCTCCTTCTGGAGGGGGGTAGGTGTGGAGTGGGAATGTACGGAGATTTGAGTTGACCTGCCAGTGCCCAGGGACCAGCCTCAGAAACTAAGCCTTAATAAAACTGCTGTATCACCATCACAGAGCCCTCAGTTCTTTCTTCTGTCTCAAGGCACTTTAGGCAAATTTCAAGTTACTGGTCCCCACCCAGATAAGATCCTTAATTATATCTGCAAAGACCTTTCCAAATATCATAATATTCAATGTTTCCAGGAAACAGGATATGGCTTCATAAGGAAGCTGGTAGTACAACAGTGAAGTGCTCAGCTGGTGTTTAAATCCACCCAGAGGCTCCACTAGAGAAACCTGATGATCTGCTTCTGTAAAGATCACAGCCAAGAAAACCCCCATGGGGCAGTTCTACCCTGTCACACCGGGTGGCTACTGAGTTGGAATTGACTTGATGACACCCAAAACGGTAACATTCAATCCATGACACTGGAGATTTTGAGTAAACTACAGATGTGAAAATGGAAAAATTTCATTTGAGTAAAAAGTCACAATGAAGAAAGAAACATGAGACTATAAAGAAAAAAACTAAAGCTTTTAAAACAAATGTATTTAATACACAGGATTCGGAAAACTAGGTATAGTTTATATATGTATATGATACTGCTCACTAATATACATATTCCAGGTAAACACAAGCTTTCTAAAACTAATTGCCAATATTAACACCCTAAATTAACCCTTCTCTGCATGAAGAAGTTCCAAATCTTGTTCCTCAGGAAGACATGAACGGCAAACAACAGCTTAAGAGTGGCTTTTCTCCCCTCTTCCTGGGTGATCTAACATTTTACATGTATTGTAATTACAAACAAATTTTAGGTTCCATTGAATTTAAGTACAACACTTAGCTAAAGTTTCCTAATGATGGGGAGTAAGTGTGAATAAAATTAGAATTGGAATAAATAAGTTAAATATTAGCTACAAGGCAATTCCAAAATGAACTGATGAAAAAAAATTGGTATAATAGTCAGTATAAATTCACTACTAGGTATGTAGGTATGTTCCATGCTTCCTTCTTCTGTTCCAGTGGGATCTGCTTCTTTATTGTCCAAGGTCATCTATTCCTGGGGTCCAAGATGGTAAAGTGCTTAATATCATCAAGGCCTTGATCATGGAAAGGATCTCTTTTAGAAACAAATACGTCTTTCTTTACAAAAGATCAAGGTTGCCTTTTCTGCTACTTCCTTCAACCAGGTTATCATCTTCATGTAAGAAGTTACTGGATAAGAGCAAGCACTCTAGGAGTCATCAGCACAAGGGATCTTCCCCACCCCCCCACCCCAGACCTCCGCCTTTTGGAGGGGTGCTGCTGCCCAGCACTGGATGATGCCCTGAAGCAAATGAGAGGAAAAGCAAGGCAGCTAGATCAGCAGCTCAGCATGGGATAGAATGGCTTTTAGGAGCTGCAGTTAGAAATTAAAGCAGCTGAGAGAGAAAGGTTGATATTGTATGTATATAGGCAGAGACCATGACCATGAAGGAGAGGGAGTAGGCGATCTCACAAAAAATGGCCCCCAGGGTTAACGTGGCCATGACCATTACACAAGTGAATAAGAACATGGCTGAGCTCAGCAAGTCCCTGAGCACCATAAACCAGTAGACGTATTCTGTGATGAATGACAAATTTAAGCAACAGATTGAGAAAGGGAATATGTACACAGTGTTAAGTGCCACTGAGTGCCCTGCCTCCCTTGGAGGCTCAGACGGTGATGAACGACTTCATGAGCTCAGCAACCAAGCTGACCACACTGTAGGAACAGGTGGACAGCCTCATCATACAGACCTCCAAGAACAGCCTGCTAAACCAGCTGACCAAAGGCAATGCTGCCCTGGGCAAGACCTCCTATAGCCAGGAGGACCAGCTTCTGCCTACCTTGTCCCCACTGGGTAGGAGGAGACCACAACGTAGAAGCATGTGGTGGAAGATGAGACCATGCCGTGGGAGCAAGGGTCTCATCACATTAAGAACAGAGGAGAACAGCTGGGAGGTCCTGGACCACATCAGCCAGCACCCGAGGGCACTGCTGACCAGTATGTCCCCACTGAGGGTGCTGCTGCTGGGGATGAGAGCTCTGGATAACCAGAAGGAAGACCGGCTGTCACTCCAGTTGGCCACCTTCAATGGTCAAGCCTGGCTGTGGACAGCACTGAAAAGGCTGAGCAAGATTCCCCATTCCTTTATCTTACTTTCTGCCATTTTACAACTTATACAATATCGTACTTTATGTGATTACAACATAAAATGATTGAAAAGTTAAAAAGGAAAAAAAAAAAAAAAAGCAAGCTCTCTAACTACATTGGCTATCCCACAGTATAATGGCTGGCTAATAAAGGAGTCACCCATTAAACCATTTGGTCTTATCCAAACAATAAGCCAAAAAGACCAAGGTCACGAAGGACTCATGAGCAAAGTACAATTTTACAAATATCTTAAGACTAGCCAGGGAGTAAGTTCTTTAATCTATTTACGTCCCCAAATGAGCCTTTATTGAATTAAGAATCCCTTCTCATCTAGTTCATAGATACTTCACGATCAAGATGGACGTGAAAGAGGAAGATGTGGAATACAAGAAAGAGTAAACAAAGAAAATCCAGTAAAATATATGGTTCACTAGACTAAGAACGGTCATTGGCAAAAGCCCCTTACCACTCTACTTCCTGACAGGTTCTTTCTTTTTACCATTTAGAAATTAAGATGTTTTTAGCCTTTTACCTTCCTTTTCTATATTGTCTCTAATGTTTTGTAGTTTCTTGGAGTTCTGGACCAGGGACACTAAACTCTCCCGAAAATCACTAGTCCCATGATCTCTGCCAATATTTATAAGCTCATCAAACAAAGTCAAGGTCTGTTTGAGTTTCGCCTGGACAATTTTTTGTTCTTCTAATTCTGCAAGAAGGGCCTGCTTAGCCCACAATTCAGTCTTATACTTCTTCTGTAAGTGTTCGATTTCTTTTTGAAGAAGCTGGAATTCTTCCTTACTACAAGGATGCGTCTCCTGGGATTTATCTTCAGGAAGCAAAATATTTGGAGGAATACGTAAAATCAACTGCAAAAACAACTGCTCCATTTTGCCAAAAAGGTTATCAAAACGTCCTTTCATGAAGCTGAGAAAGTTCTCTGTGCATTTACGAATCTGCACTGGGCTAATGTCACAGTTTGAGATGCCGTCCAGTTTCTTCACAATAACCTGTTCAACAGCCTGCATCACTTCAAACAGGTAGTCTTGAAATGCAATGTAGATCCTAAGCATGCAAGTTTGTGGTGTGAAGCCAAAGAATTGTGCCTCATACGTCATAGGATCAACAGACATCTTGATTTATTTTACTAGGAGATTGTGAAAAATCTGCAAATGTGAAAAGAAAATCAATAGAATAAAAAAGCATCTGAGGAAAGAAACAAACCACAACATTATGCATGGCCAAAAAAAAAAAAGCAACCACATAAAAAACAGGGAGTTTGTGGTTCTTGATACCCAATGCCACTGCCAGCCTTACTTATCCACAATAGTATACAAACCTTGGCCTCTCTGAACCATTTCATCTGTCTATACCTCTCTCTCCTCATTGTTCATTTTCCTTTTTCTTACTTATTGGCAACTCTGGCTCAGTCTTCTGAAATCTGTTATAATCTTAAACAACTAGGAAGTCTAGCCAAATGATCTAACCCCTAGAGACTTTCCATTTCTTGAGTTTCAATGATCTTCATCTGTGCTTTTTTATCCACCTGGCTCTTGATAGTTGTATCTTCTCTCTCCAATTGCTCCTTTTTAAAAAAAACAAAAACACCACAACCTCCTATGCTATTTTTCCAACTTCCATTCACATACTCACATTTTACCTTAATCTTCAAGGCTTCTAGCCCTCTGATCTTCTATTTCTTCATCTCAGTCTTTCCCACTTCACTTCTCCCTCTATCCGTTTTAGGTCCCATGAACCATAATTTCAACTACTCCCTTGTTAATGTCAACTCCCTTGTCCTTCTAACCCAACCATCTTCAAAAATCCTAACTAGAAACTGAGTAAGCATCTTGTCAGCTTTACAGTCCACAATATGTTTTTTCAAGGTCTGGGCATTGTCACTTTCAAATGTAAACATTTAGGAAAACCCCCACTTTCATCTCCTTATAGAAGGAGCTAGTGGTATAGTTGTTAAGGCATTTGGCTGCTAACCAAAAGGTAGGTAGTTCAAACCCACCAGCTGCTATATGGAAGAAAGATGAAGCAATCTGCTTCCGTAAAAATGTACAGCCTTGGAAACTCACTGGGTGTTGCTATGAGTCGGATTGACTCAAAGGCAGTGAATTTGGTGTTGTGGTTTTATCTTTTTATGGAATTTAACCTAGGCACCTTTCTCTGAGCTGTAACATCTGCTTGTCATAGAAACGAGACGTTTTATTATTCCTTTGGATAAAGGCAATTAGCTAAAGCAAATAGCTATCTCAATTACCACATGAATTTAGGATGAATTTTATGGAACAATTTGAAGAAATGGTACAGTTAATTTTATGGGAAGACAAGATGTCATTAACCTTGAGAAATTACGTATGTAACGGCTACATATAGATAGAGTTTACTATTTGGCTATATAAACAAGGTAAAATTTCTTTCTGTCTTTGGAACTTCATCCACAGATTACCTACAATGCATTTTAATCTAGATATGCTTATTCAAAGGAGCCCTGAGGGCACAATGGTAAGTGCTTAGCTGCTAACCAAAAGGTCTATGGTTCAAATCCACCAGCAGCTCTACAGGAGAAAACATCTATGATCTGCTCCCTATAAAGAATATAGCCTAGGAAAGCCTACAAGGCAGTTCTACTCTATCATATAGGTTTACTGAGTCAGAACTCACTGCCCTAAAGTTGGATCCAACTCATAGCGACCCCTCCTTGGGTTTCTGAGGTGATATCACTATGGAAGTAGATTGCCCAGTCTTCCACGGAGATTGGGCAATGAGTCAGAATTGACTTGATGGCACACAAGTTTATTCAATAATAAAACTGCTTTATTTTCTACATTTTGTGGAGAAGATTCCCTGAGTTAGTAGGATTTTTTTTCTCCAGCACTTTCCAGTGCCCTCAGGATCAAGTTCAAACTCTTTCAGCTTGGCTTATAAGGCCCTTCATGATGCAGTCCTTACTAACCACATACTGCCCTCCTCTTTAAGGACTTCACACATATATAATTGAGTTTATACTACTTCCTATATTTCATAGCACTCTATTCCTTCTCTATTTTTATTCTACCTTTTATCCAGTAGGAATCTAGTTTTAAAGTATGCTCTTTCAATTCATCTTTATATGTCTTCATGAAAAATAGTTTTGTATATTATGTTTCTAATTTCCTTTATATTATGTTTGTGATCACTTCATGTTACTATACTAAGTCTACTTCAATGACTGTAACTGAAGGAAACCATCAATCTATCATGTGCATGTACTATACTTAAAGTATCCATTCTCCTTGTTACAGACACCTAAATTGTTTACAGCACCTTGCTACCAGAAATAATGTTTCTTTAACTGCAAATAAGTGCTGGGTCACAGAGTTTATGCATACTAATATTTCACTAAATATTGCAAAACACTTTCTAGAAAGTCTAGGCTGGTTTACACTCCCCACTTGCAGTACTTAAGAATTTCTTTCTCATAGCTGAGCCAACACTTGATATTCAACATTCTAATTTCTGCCAATTTGGAAGGTGTTTTCTTTTTTTTTTTTTGATTTTTTATTGTGATTTGGGTTAAGATTTACAAAGCAAATTCACTTTCCATACAGCAGTTCACATATACTTTGTCTCATGTCATTGACCACAGTTTACCACAATGCAACAGCTCCCCTCCCACTTCCTCCCCATAGTTACCTCTTCCCAGTGTTCATCCCTCCACATACTCCTGCCCCCTGAGCTGTCTCCCTGTGCATAAGCAGCCTGGAAGGTGTTTTCTTAATAAAATAAAAACTCCATGGCATTTCTTGGGAACATAAAGGTAATCAAAACAGTATGAACACATGTTTTGGAACTATATTCATACCAAACCACCACCCACTGCCATAGAGTCAATTCTGACTCATAGCAACCCCCATAGGGTCTCCAAGGCTGGAAATCTTTACAGAAGCAGACTGCCTCATCTTTCTTGGTGCAGTTGGTAGGTTTGAAGCAACAACGTTTTAGTTAGCAGCCCAATGTTTTAACCACAGTGCCACTAGGGAAACCAAACTCACTGTCGTCCAGTCAATTCAACTCATAACGACCCTTCCTTGGGTTTCTGAGGTGGTATCTCTACAGAAGTAGATTGCCCAGTCTTCCTTCCGAGGAGTAGCTGGTGGGTTTGAACCGCCACCCTTCTGGTTAGCAGTCAAATGCTTTAGGTACTATGCCACCAGAGCTCCCATATTCATACCAAAGGACACCTAAAAAGGGAAAAACTATTGCCCTCAACAACTTCTCACTTCATGGATCATTTCTAGTTGGATACACTTTGTAGCAGAATAGTATCTCCTTTTAGTATGGCCTGACCCAGTTTTCTTGACTTTATTTTAAATGAATGTCTTCTGCATCATCTAATACCAAGTTCACATACTCACAAAAACCTATGAAACCATCCTCTATCCACATACTCATTTGCTCACAGAGCAACACTTCAATCTGGGCTCTGTTTTGGTATATATGAAGATGTGGTTGATGGGCTGCACCATCACCTTCTGCACTTATTTTCCTGGCCCTGGCCACCACACACCATGGTCACACTAACCCCCATGCTAGCTCAGAAAGCTACTGCCCTCTAGTGTTTTTTGAAAACTGAAACCATCTAGCCCCACACATAGTTGGGACGCTAAGGACTGACACTACCTACACTCCCTCCAACAGATATACAACTTATTGTTTATATTAATATGACTTTATTCCATTGCCTTCATTAGCATGATTTTACTATTATAGTAAAGTTTTGACCAGGTAAATGGCCTGATTGGTCATTGGGAACTCCCTCAAAGGATCAACTCTTCAATGGGAAGCATCACTTTGCACCCTAAGAGTCTCTGAAACCCTTTGCTCAAAATTCCTCCCGTTTCTATCAATCCTACACTGTTATGTATGATCCCTAAAACCAGCTGCTGTCAAGCTGACTCAGACTCCTGGTGACTCCATGGGTGTCAGAGTGGAGCTGTGCTCCATGGGATTTCTATGTCTGATTTTTTAGAAACAGACACCAGAACTTTCTTCTGAGGAGCCTCTGAGTGGACTCAAATGTTCAACCTTTCGGTTAATGTTTGTACCACATTGCAGTAAGCCAGAGATTCAGTCCTTTTATCAACAGGTTGTGAGGCGATATGTGGGGAACCAAACCAAACCCACTGCCATCGAGTCGATTCCAACTCGTGGTGACCCCCATAGGGTTTCCAAGGCTGTGAATCTACACAGAAGTAGAATGCCCCATCTTCCTCCTGTGGTGCAGCTGGTGGGTTTAAGCCACTGACCTTCTGGTTAGTAGCCAAATGCCTTACCCACTGTGCCACCAGAGCTCCTTACGTGAAGAACAGGCAATATGCATTATAATATGCATTTTCTCTGATAACCAGTACAGCACCCCTTCATACATATTAGCTCTTTCGTTTCTCTTGCTGTGAATTACCCATTCATATTATTTTTAAAACCTGTTTCCTTCCTTATATACTGGGAGCTCTGGTGGTATAGTGTCTCCTCGGAAGGAAGGTTGGGCAATCTACTTCTGTAGAGATACCACCTCGGAAACCCAAGGAGGGGTCGCTATGAGTCGCAGCCGACTCGACGGCAGTGAGTTTGGTTTTCCTTATATACTAATAAACTTGACTTCACACTCCTGTTAAAAAAAAATCCTTTAAGTTAAGGCTTTCTTACAACCCACCAGTTCAAGTACGATGTTCTTAACCTTGCCATCTATGATCTGGCTACTCTTTGCTCCAGTCAAAAGTGTTATGGATTAAATTGTGTGCGCCTCCCCCCCAGTCTATGTTAGAATCTTAACCCCTATACCTGTGGATGTAATCCCATCTGGGAAAAGGACTTTGTTATGTCGAGGTCTTATCAGTATATCTTAAAACTAATCACTTCTGAGTGATACAAAAAGCACCACACAGAGACAAGCAAACACAAAGTGAGCAAAACAGAAGCACAAGCGAGGACAGCCACAGAACCCAGGAATACCTGGGCAACAGAAGCTGAAAACAGGTTTTCCCCCTAGATGGACAGACAGCCTTCCCCTAAAGCTGGTGCTCTCAATTCAGACCTCTAGACTCCTAAACTATGAGAAAACGTCTGTTCCTAAAGCTACTCT